TGAACATGTAAAAAAAGAGGTATTGAAGAACGAATTATTAAACGTATGAGTAGCCATTTGCATACGATTCCGAAGTGTCCAACGAAAAAATGGCCCAAATAACGTTGAACAAATTATTAAACGAATGCTATTAGAAAATGTGATAAATTACGTGAGCATATTCGTATATTATACTGCTACACAACTGAAAATTCTCGATTATACGGGAATTTTCAATTGTCGAGTTGTATACAGGTAAACTGTCATGAAATATACAAAAAATTTCATCGTTTATTTTTTTCATATGTTAAATAGTCAAAATTTGTGAGTTCAGACAATAAGAGCTCACTATCCTAACCAATCATTGAGTACCTATTGAACTTATTAAACAGTTTCTTCGTTTTTGTTTTTTTTTTGACAAAAACTGTGTTTACCTTTTGAATTGACAACTATAAACACAATCTACCAACTTTTATTAAAGTAAAATGTACTTGAAATATATTATTACCCAAATTTCAGAATTATTGTTAATATTACTGCACAAAATTAAAATCGGAAATATAATAGGTACTGGCTAGCCGACTGCCGGCGGTAGTTGAATTTAATACAACGAAAACCGTCTTCCGGCGGCATGGTCTTCTCACATATAAGAAAGCCGCCGAAAATCTAATCTGATTTGTTGATGAGGGCGGCAGGCTGTCAGTGTATTGATAAAGTCGCCGGACGACGGTCTACTGTATTTAAAACATTAAATGCCGCCGAAAAAAACTCGCGTATCGGTGATAACACTAATCATTTGTAATTGCTGTGGTGGGAGGTGTTTGTTTGTTTTCATTTACGCCGTGACTCAGGATTTAAAGACTTCAAAAGTTTCTCCTATATATAAAAAAAAGGAAATGAAAACCTTCCAGAAAACTACAGGCCTATATCAATAGTACCTATACTATCAAAGCCTATTGAAAAAGCTTTTAACAATAGACTTTTTGCATACCTTAACAAATTTAATCTTCTGAGTGACCAACAATTTGGTTTTAAAAAAAAGTCCTCAACAATAAATGCTATCACAAAGCTGGTGACTGATATTGTCAGTGCTTTTGAGGATACACAGATGCTTTCAGCAAGTTTCTGTGACCTCTCGAAGGCATTTGATTGTGTTAGCCACAGCAAACTATTGAATAAACTCCCATACTATGGTATAAGAGGTAAAGGTCTTGATTTCCTAACCCAGTACTTAAAAGACCGTTGTCAATTTGTACAAATTGGAAACAATACTTCAGAAACTCAAAAAGTTCATGCTGGAGTACCCCAAGGCTCAATTCTTGGGCCAACCCTCTTTATACGTGAATGACCTACCTTACTATCTAAAGCCTACTTTTTCCGTTGAGTATGCAGACAACACTACTTATTATCACTGTAACAAGGACAAAGACGAGCTAGAAACTCTTGATGCTGGAGCTCTTGCCTTGTCTAACTTATTGTTCTCTAGTAATAATCTTTTACTGAATACTGACAAAACAGTCAAAATGTTGTTTACACTCAGAGGTATACCTCAACAAACTAAATCAACAAAATTCTTAGGTTTAACATTAGATAATAATCTTGATTGGAAACAGCATATAGAGAGCCTATCAAATAAACTATCTATATCACACGCTATTTTTAATCAAAAAATTATCATCGTACACTACAAACAAAGTCTGTAGAACGGCCTATATGGGTCTTTTTCATAGCCACCTGTCATATGGGATACTGCTATGGGGAAATTCTGTAGACTGGCAAAAAATATTCATATTACAAAAAGCGGCAGTACGTGCAATAACAAAAAGGCCTCATCTAGAGTATGTAGGCCATTATTCAAGGAACAAAAAATATTGACACTCCCATCTCTTTATATATTAGAATGTTTATTATATGTAAAAACAAATAAAATAAAAAAATAAATCCTATACTACTAGTAGATACCCATGAGCACAACACTCGGTCAAGAGAACAATTGTTATTACCACAACACCGACTAACATTAACTGATAAAAGCTTTATATGCAACTCTATTAAACTATAAAATTTTTTAACTAAAATGTCAAGTTGACGTCACCAAATTGTTTTCTATATAAATATAAAATGTAATGTAAATATAAATTTTATTGTTTTCTGATATTTGACGATGTTAAAAACTGCTGTGAGTTTATTTAAGCAAATAAAGTATATTCTATTCTAAACTAGTAGTAGTATTTTATAAACCTTAGAAGTTAATTTCACATACATGAACAAATAATAATAATGCCGTGACAACAAGAAGACGAAGTAACGACTTATCGTAGGGTGGCGGCTTCGCCGCCACCATAAAATTTCAATCCATACCTGGCTACGCCGACCGGCATAAACACCAACGGCCTGGACACAGCTCATCTACTCTGTCAAAAGGAGACCGATGTACAAATAAAACGCGTACGACATATGATCATTTGCCACAATTATGTAGACGATTTTACAAGTATTTTTTTTACCACCGACATTCAATGTTTTAAATACAGTAGACCGTCGTCCGGCGGCATTTTTCAATTCCCTGATAGCGTGCCGCCCTGATCAACAAATCAGTTTAGATTTGCAGCGGCTTTCTTATATGTGAGAAGGCCATGCCGCCGGAAGACGGTTTTCTTTTCAACAAATGCAAGCACGGCCGCCGGCGGTCGTTTAGCCAGTATGAATATAATATTATAAACTAATTGTATGTTTATGTTAAATCACTTTAATACAAATAAAACTAACTCACACTCAACTTTCGTAAATTAAACATAATTTTTGAATACAATTCTAAGTTAATTAAATTAAACTAATCATTTCATTTTATAGTTTAAGAACTGAAATCACAATAAAAACCTTTAAAATTTGGCAAATGTCAAACTCATGAAAGGCAAGTAACTTACACATGCCGTTCCGCCTCAGAATACGCTGTTACCGTATTTAGTATTTTTTAGGCTATAATGGAAATTATATTACTCTAAAAAACACTTCCAAATATGTTTATTTTGTCTTTTTCATGCAAAATGATTCAAACAATCTTTTTTTTCTAATACCTCTTATCTTTTCAAATTTTATCTAATAAATTTTAAGTTTCTGTACTCAAACATCTTTATTCTAGGCAAAATTACTCAAACAAACCGATTTAAAATACAATAATTTGTCCTACGGACTCGTGATTTTATCGATCGGTTTATTTTCGTTGTTTTTCCAATTAAAGACTTTTTCGTGGAAACTTAAAATTTAATCGATAAAATTTGAAAGATTTGTCGTATTACCTTTGATTAATTCTGCAGAAATATTGCTAAAACGAGAGATCATAAAAATTATAGCAAAATTTATAACTGTCAAATTTTCAAGTGGAGATCATATTTTTGACATAACTGAATTTATGAACTCTTGTAGCAAACAGTGTTTATGGTATTGTGGTGCAAACTAGTATTCTTTCATTTTTTATTCGCCAGTGGAACCCGACGTTCTAATTGATATGGAACCGAAGTGTTTTTTGTGTGGTAATAGTGGGAATATTAAAACTTTCAATAATAATTCATTCACGAAATGTCAGGTGTCGTTAAGGATTCGGATTAAACATCAGCTGGGACATGAAAATGTGGTACTTCCAGAAAACGGCGATTTAAGTATTGGCTACCACTCCAGGCCATGCTACAGTAATTTCAATGCTATTAATGCCAGATATAGGGAACCTGAAACATCATATTCGTAAGTACTTAATTTGGTTCCGGTGAAGAATCCAGATGTACGAATTTCGAAGCAACTTTTTACAATATTTTAACAAAAATTATAAACGGAAAGGTATGTTTCATTTGCAATTTTAATTTACATTAATAAAATGCTAATATTTTCATCATTTAACCTAACTTTTAACATAATTTTCTGTAACAAATTGTAAACTCAGAATACGCCCTCTGGAGGAAATTTATAAAATGTAACTTATCTAAATACACTCGGTATTTGGTTTTTTAAAAAGATTTATTTTATTTAAAGTACAACTTATCGTATCAAACACAGATTCTAAACTGAATTAACTGAAAGGAAATATAATATAACAGGTGGCATTACACCTAAGGTGGAATGACACAAAACTAATCTAATGCAAATTCAGCAGTTCCAAGGTTCATCCACGAGGTTGCCGACTCAGGGTTATTGACTCTATAACTCTCCCCTTGTTAAAATGAGGCTTCTTGCGGAAGTCGAATATGGCCTTCTTCAGGGGTTGGTTCCGGTGGGGATTTTTCCTTCTTCTTCTTAGGCATCTTCTTGTGGATGATAAAAATAATTGTTACTGCTACTCCAAAATAAAGAATAATTGTCCATGCACTAGGAATATGATACTTAAAATTTTCGTTTATTATAGGTATTGGTCCATTTGAACTGATTTCTTTTAGTTTTAAACTTTTTAAATTTAATTTCATTGGCAACAGATTTATTTTTTCAAAATACAATTTTGGTTTATTTATTATAATTGGTTGTCCAAATGATTTTTCTTGAAAGGTTAATTCGTGATTTTTAAATATTATTTTACATGGTGAATTATCAATTAAAAATATTCCAGATAAGATTTTAATTTCGGTTCCTTGCAAGCATTGTATTGATAATTTTTCTTCTTGAGGAAATATTGCCAAAAATTGATTTGTTTCTGGTATAATTTCTATGTGATTTTTAGAAATATCTACCTTAACATATTGACATTGGCTAGAATTTCCTTTTAGTAAAATTTCTTTCTCGCATAATTGTTCATTATTATTTTGTAAACGGCTAGGACATTGGAATTTTTTACCGCGTGTGCAAATATCGTTTAGAGGCTTTATTTGATTTCCGGATTTTAATATATATTTTGTGTTTGGCATTATTATAACAAATTCTGATTCAAATTTGGTGGGAATTGGCAGTAAATAATATAGTTCGAATTCTGTTTCAAAATCAATAGGAATTGATAGAAAATATTGTATTTGATTTTTTCTAATTTACAGTTAACCTCTAAGATTGATTCGAAATTTAAAATATTTTCATATTTTACTTCTAATGGTAGCTGAAATTGATAATGAGAAGAAATCTTTTTTAATTCTAAAAATAGCTCATGTGATTTTATGATACTAGGGTGAATGGTTTTCAGTTTACAAAATGTTATGGAATTTTCTACGTTTTCCATTATGTCCAGGATTAAATTATAAATTATCAATAATTCGTTAAATAAGTCTTTTAAGTAAATTACATTTTCAAATTTTGCTTGAAAGTCTACAATGTCTTTAATTTCTAGTATTTTAGATTTGAGATTAATTTCATTTTTTTGGATATCTTGAATTGTTTGATTAAAATTATTTATTATCTGGCTACTGACAGAATATTGCATTTTTAATTGATTCTGTAAATTAGCTTGATTTTCTTTTAAATGTTCTAAAATTGAATTTATTCTTTCTCCATCTTGGGAGTCTAAATTTCCGGTAATGGCTTTAAGAACTGATCCAAACCCATTTATTAAACCTCTTTTATTTTTTTCTAAAAGTGAGTGAATATTAAGATTGTTAAATTTTTCTTCTATATTAGTTTTAAGATAAACTATAATATTAACGAAATTCTCAGTTTCTATACTGAAGAATGTATTATTTGAAATATTATTTTTAAGATAGTTAAACTGTATGTTTAAATTATTGTATTCCTGCAATAGCGGGTTTAAATCGTAAAAATGCACGAATGTGTGCCTAGATTTTTGAAGTTTGGCAGGACCTAGATTAATTGGTAGGATACCTAAATTGTGGGTGATGTCTTTTATGTCTACTGATGCGTATCCGATTGTGACGCACCTGAAATAAAAGTATAAGGTTTTCTTTTAGGACGTTTAATATTTGATAAATGAATATCTTCGGCAGTATTTTTATGTCTAGTGATAATTTTAGCAGTATTTCTTTCTAGATTTGTATCTTTAATTTCTTCAGCTTGATATTTATTTTTTGTTTTACTTTGTTTTTGTCTGTTACGAACAAATACTTTAGAAGGAATTTCATCCGTTAACTTTTCTCGCTTTTCATTAGCTTTGGTAATAACTTTTTCTTTGGTTTCTTGTATATTTTTATTTAATTGTGAATATAATATTTTCATTTTTTCTTTGTGATCAGAAATATAATTATTTATTAATTGTTGCTCTATATCTAAATCGAAAACGGAATTATTTTCTAAATGACCTGTAGTAATTTCATAAGGTTTTAATTTTGTTACAGAGTGAATGCTATTATTATACGCTAAAAGTGCGTAATTAACTTTTTGTTCTATAGGTTCAGTTTTATATTCGTTTTGGTTATTTAGTAATCTAATATGTTCAATAATAGAAGAATGGAATCTTTCAGCGATGCCGTTGGATTCTGGATGCTGTGAGCTAATGAAATGAATCTTTACTTTGTGAAGATTTAGTAGATCTTTTACAAGTGAATTTTTTAATTCTGTACCGTTATCAGAAATTATTTGTTCTGGTATACAGTGATGAGTAAAATATTTAATTAGGCTATTGACTACTTCGATTCCTTGTGCGGAATTAATTTTATATAATTGACCATACTTTGAAAATGAGTCTATTATAGTTAAAAATTTATTATTTTCTAATGTTATTGTATCTAAATGTAGTATTTGGAAAGGTTTAATCGCTGTAGGAGTAATATTATAAATAGGTTTAATAGGTTTTCTATCGTATTTTGTTAATTGACATATTTCACAGCTGTTAATGTAGGTTTGAATTGATGCTCTTTGATTAGGCCAATAATATAATGTTTTAATTCTATTTTCTGTTTCATCTATACCTCTATGATTTTGTTTTCCTTCGTGATAATTTTTTATTACATCTTCAACTTCATTTAATGGGACATCAATAAATTTTTTGGAACATTTAATAAATGAGATTTGGGAATTTTTGAAAAATTGTTGTACAACAACGCTAAATTTTTCATATAGGGGATCTTCAAAATAGATATGATATTTTACTTTTGGTACTACGTACTCTTTTACAAATTTGATAACATCGTTTTCAAAATTATTTTTTGAGAATTGTACAAGAATTCGTTGTTTGTTTTCATAGGGTTTTATAATAGTAGGAGTGGTAGGAGCAAAATTGACTTCGGATATTATTATTTGATTTTTTCCGACATTTACCGCGCAATCCGCGATAGGTATGCCTGGTATTGGGTTCTCTACATTAGTGTGAATAGTATCATTTTCATCTTCGATGTCATTGTTTATATCATCAGGTTCTACTACAAGAGATTCTGTTTCATTATTTATTTTAGGACATTGAAGTTTGTTATTAAAGTTTTCCATATATTCGAAAATTTTTGTAGAAGTACTAGGTTTTGAATTAGTTATTGTTTCGTTTACATTAAGTTCTATTCTAGATAAAGCATTACTATTTGTATTTAAGTTTGGGTATGTTGTTTGTTCGTATTCATCGAACCTTTCAACTTTTGAAATATCAAATCTAAATTTGTCTTTGTAAATTTTATTTCGATTTGGGTACGTTGGTTGTTCGTATTCATCGAACATTTCAACTTTTGAATTATCAAATTTTAATTTGTCTGTAAAAATATTTAAGTCTGGGTATGTTGTTTGTTCGTATTCAGCGAACGTTGCAACTTCTATACTTGGACTTAGGTCAACTTTACAATATGATTCAGATGAATTTAAGATGGTACATTTAGCTGTACTATCTTCTACTTTTGTTAAACATTCAGGAATTTCTAATTTATCAATTTTTGTATACGGTATTATTACGTCACCGTTTTTAACATTACTTATATTTAATTTAATAATTTGTTCTGTTCGTGGTGGCACTACTATACAATTCGTGCACTCACTATTTATCTTAAAATAATTTATTTTGATTTGACTATAAGGGGTAATTAATAAGTCGTTTATTAGGTCAATTTTTGCATTTAATTTTTTAAGATTATCTAACCCTAATAAACAATCAAAATGATTATGAAACTTAAAAATACAATATTCGAAATTAATTGGTTTATTATGTTTAAATATTTTTGAGGATGGAATTACTGTACAATAATTTTCTTGTTTCGTTCCTAAAGCGGTAGAAACTTGGAATGGTTTGCGTATAAGGGATGTTTTAAAATATTTGTCGGCAATTTCTGGCACAACAAAGGATTTTGTACTGGCAGTATCAATAAGAACTCTTAAATTATTTTCTGGGAATATTATGTACGGTAATTCACTCTCACTGTTAGTTAAGTTTAATAATTCGACTTGTTTTATTTGTTTTCCGAGGCATTTTCTTCTAAAAAATCATCATTAATATTTTCGTTGGGACATTCTGTATTATCTAAGTTATGTAGTTCTTCAGAAATAAAATTTTTCCTTTGATTTGCAAAAGAATTTTGGTTTTGAGAATAGTTGCGATTTTGGAAATTTCTTGTAGGTCTAAAGGAATTTGAAGTATTTACACTCATGGGTGTTGGATTTTGGAATTTTTGATTCGGATTAGGTCTGAAAACATTTGTATTAGGACCTCTACTTGTACTAGGTTGATTTCGAGGCACTAAACCTACATTTCTATTTAATTGTTGATAATTTCGAGATGAACTTGGCATTTCTGGTTGCCAGTTTATTGATTGATTATTTTGAAAATTTTGTCTATTTCTAAGTAAATGATTATTTTGGTAATTATGATTAATATTTTTATATCTTGGACTATAATTACTATTATT